GAACAGGCCTGGGGACAGGGGGAATGGTCCCTCTGTGAAACCTCCCTGCCTGTGCCTGGCCATGGTGCGTCCGCTCCCCTCCCCTCCCGTCCCCTCCCCTCCCCACCTCAGAGGCTGCAATCCACTAAGCAAGGCTGCAGGCTTCCCACATGCCCAGCGGGAGCCAAGCAAAGGACTGGTCACCTTGAGCAAGTTACTTAACGTCTCTGTTTCCTCATCTGCAAAATGGGGCTGTTCCCCACCCCATAAGGCTTTGTGGGGATGAGATGTGTGTTACGTAGATACCGGAACATGGTAAGCGCTCAGCAGACAATCCCTCTAGGCCTATTTTTAAATTACACCTCAGAGATCAGGAGGCCGAGATGACCTTCCTCAGGTCACCGCGTTATAATTACAGAGTCAAGATTTCAACCCAGGCCCATCTGGCTTCAATCCTGTGCTCTTTAAACCACCCCCACAAACTCCCCAAAACGTTTATTCCTATAAATATGTTTGCTGGGCCTTCGGTCCATACACAGGCTGGGAGGTGCTGAGGAGGACACGCAATGGAAAGGACAGGTCCCTTCTCTGAGAGGCTCAAGCTGGGGCCTGGCGGGGGATGGGGGTTCAGATAAGAATAGCTAAGACAGCAACCCCAAAGCTGACTGCAGGGCCAATGGGTAAGAGCCAAAAGCAACAGAGATTTCCTGGGGAAGATTTCCTGCAGGAGGTAGTGCTTGAGCCGGACTTTGAAGATCGTGAGAATTCTGGGTAGGTGGAAAGGGCAGGAAGACATTCAGGTGAGGGGACAGCTGGACAGACGGACGGGGCATGGGGCAGGCATGCGTCCTAGAGAGGCAAATGACACCCAGACATAGACTTGGGGTTCATCAAAGCCTTCCAGGAGTTGTGGGCTGGGATCAGTGCTGAGCGTCAGGCCCCACCTGGACTCACCTGTGGCTGGAGGTGGAGCCTTGGTCAGGAAGCGCTGGCACTGGCGTCGGTATTCCCGCCACTTCTGCACTGTCTCTGAGAGGGACACAGTGGCGCCCTGGGGAGGGAGGGCAGAAATAGGGGCCTTGTGGGTCCAGCCAGGCCCTCTCCTCCCCCCCTCACCCCCACACACTTGGCTTCTTAATCTTCAGGGGACCTTAGAGCCTCACGCTCAACCAGGCATTGGCCATCTCTGCAAGGGGAGAACAAGTTACTGCCACGTAGGGGCTCCAGGTGATGCTGTCACATCTTTATCCCTCCCAGGGGACTGGTACACAACTTCATGTGTAGTGAGTACCCAGCAAATGTCCACTGAATTGATGCCTTTGGGGGCTGGGTGGGTGAAGGGGGAGGGGAGAGTGTATGTCCCATTCATGGCCTCATCTGTCCTCACCTAGGAGGGAGACTTCT